CTACAACTACAAGCAGTGTTGTCAAACTAAGTCATTATTAGCCTACAACTGATATGATATTTAGTGTTAGAAACTTGATTAAAAAGCTCATAAGAGATTGGATATTGTTTACTATTAAAAACTCTAGAAAAACTTGAATTTTTTTTTTTATATAGAAAACTCTCAAAGAGCTTAAATTTTGTACCTTAAAGAAACAAAATTTTTAAATACATGACTTTGTACTCTAGTCAAGGTTGTTAATACCATATCAACATACATGTTGGTTTTGTTGTTGGTATGATACATACGTATCACACTATATCGTGTATCGTTTTAGATTTATCATTATAAATATACATTTTTATATAAATTAATTATATACTATTACAATAATACTTTAAACATAACAAAAATAAAATTAATGTATAAAAATATAGATTCATAGACTAAAAAATAATATTATTAATAGGAAATAGTGCCCATTTGCCTTACTTTTCAAAAATTAAGAAGAAAATTATTTTAAAACTATATCATTTTAATAAATTTTAATAAAAAAAAACTAAAATATTTTATTTTTAAAGCATAAATTACACTGCTTTTAGTCTTTTCATGTGGTACTTTACTGAAATAACATAATTTTAAAATAATTTTCAGAGTAGGCGGATGGATGGTAATCCTTGTTTATATTTAAATTTAAAGGATTAACTTGCATGGGTTATTACGCAATTTTTCAACAAGTGGAAGGGTATTCTTTTTTATCCTTAACATGTTCATCATCATGCCTCTATCTCAATAAATATTTGGTTAAAACCCCGATTCAGTCCCTCAACTTTCATTTTTGAACTAAAACTACCCTCGAACTTCAAAAAATACTAAAAAATCCTTGAACTTCAATTTTTGAGACCAATTTCGTCCTTCCGTCGACGGAAGTGCCAGATGGCACGTTAAGTTGCTACGAAATCAATTATTGTTTGAAATATTTAATTACATGGAAAATAACTTATTATCCACATCATTTTAATTAATTTATACATTAAAAAATTTAAAATTTCTTAAATACCCCCAATCAACACCAATTATCCCTCGTTACTCCGATTATCTCTTTCTACTCCAATCACCATCTCCTTCTTCCCCAAACCTCCCAAACCTCCTCTCTGAAACCCAAATCTGTAAACTTATACCAAATTTATAAAACTTCAACAAATTAATCATATTGCAAACTTATACCAAATCTGTAAAAGAAAGGAAAAATGCAAAAAACGCAAAAAATGCAACGGCCCTTCAATCAACACCAACCGTAACTGAACCTTGAAATGCAAGCAAGCAGAACCCATATCAAAACTCTAAATCCATACCAAGATAGTCAAGCATCACTGCAGCCAACAAAGAAACAGAAGAACAAAGAAACAGAAGAAAAACCCAGGCGTGTTCGACTCGAACCCGCACCAGGGTTCCATTGAACCCGCACTCGGGTTCCATCGAACCCGCACCCGGGTTCCATCGAACCCGCACCCGGGTTCCATCGAACCCGCACCCGGGTTCCATCGAACCCGCACCCGGGTTCCATCGAACCCGCACCCAGGTTCCATCGAACCCAGGCGT